GCCCGGTGGTGACATCGAAACTCCACATATTCACGACTTCACCTTCAAAAGCAAAACACAAATTCTCTTTTTTAACTTAACAAATTGCATTTAAGTACTTGTGAAGATGAAAAATTGTCTAAATGATTTTTATTAACTCAGTTGAAATGCTAATTTGAAAGTTGAACTGTGAAGCTGAAATTCATGAATTCGAATACGCGATATCGTGAATTTCGAACAGTAATGATCAAATTCATAAAAATGAATACATCCAGTTGCAATTACATGTTTGTGAAGTTAAAATCGTGAAATAATGACGCTGAAAACATAAATTCATGAAAAAAAAAACTCGTTAATTTGTGTATTAAATATTTAACAATCAATTAATATAAGTGTTGAGAATTTGTTTCCAACAAAAATAAGTATGTTTTTTTTAATGTTAAAATTGTGGCTTTGTTTTGAGAATTGAGTACCACTCAAGCTGGTGCTTGGGTGCGTGAGGAATGTTGCACTTATTCATTTTCCCTCATGTACAGACACAATCAAACCAAGTCTGCAATTGTCATGATCAATGCTTTCGAGGGATCACTTTGTTTCTAGATTTTTCTTTATTTAGTGTACAGCTCCTTATCGCCGCTATTTGAGAGCAGTTTCAATGGATAAACATGTTACTAGCATGTTAAAATTACCTCGCTTTGAGATTTTTCTAGATTATTTAAACGCCAATTATGCACATATACAGTGGCAACTGGAGTACAAAAGTATAAACAAATTGTAACTCTTTGCTGTAAATATTTAAGTGATTTAGATTTATATTTAGTTTAGTTTGTCGACCGATATTTGCTTGTTTGCTTGTTTCAACATGTGGTGTTATTCAAGGTGAACAATAAAGGTTTTATCTGGAAAGCACTGTGTTGAAATCAAATTAATATAGCACGGTCAAAACAGGCACAGAAGATAAAGCATTTGTAACACTAATATTTATTTCTGAATATAAATACAAATCTCTATACAGTATAGAAAAGAATACAGAGGTTCTGGTAAGATATGCATGGTATTTATGTAAAAATAAGTGCATTATGGAAACTTGCATAGATATTATATACTACGTGAATGTGCATTCAAGATCTGAAGAGCTTAATTGACAAATATTTTATCTTATGTCGGATTATTGAATTGAAAGTAATTATATTCTTTTCAAACAAACCGGAAAGTCTTATCGTTAAAATGTTTGAATAGTTATAGACTCTATGGTATTGACTTGTTATTGAAGAACGAACGCTTTCGTTTTTATGTTTATCCTTCTTGCTTATAAGGTTCTTATATTTAAATCTATGTATGTTTATATCAATGTTTTACGAAACAAATGTTTCTTTGCACAACTAAGATCCATAAATTATAGTAGTTTTTAGATATAATTTTCTTCTAACCCACATAGTCATTGAAAAGTTATATCTCCGAGGTGTCCGTCTTTACATTATACAATAGATATAACGTGTTTTCTGCTACATTCCTGACCTTGACATCACTGAGGATAGGACTTATTTTAGGTTTCGAACCAATAGCTTTGTATACATACTATATGCCTGCGTGTTCACATGTTCTTTTACTAACTTGTATATGATATACTTAACTGAAAAATTGTGATGTAGACGGATATTGCGATTTTCTCTTACGGTTTTTGAAACTTTGTTTTCTGTTTAAGCCGGTGCTAAGGGCATGTACACTAAGTCACACCTTCCAATAACGTGCAACAAAAGGCTTGATCAAGCCGAGCCTGCAACGTTTTCAATTTTGTCGTTTTTGGCGTTTAGGGATTCTTTCTTTAAGTATTGTGTTGTACTTTTTCACATTCATACATTTTACCTTTATATACTGTCCCGCTGGACAACAAGTGCAGACCAACGTATTACCCTTATTTATATCTGACATTGGCCAAAACCTTGAAAAATACAAAAGTCCGAACACAGAGATCCTCAAAACATGATGCACAGTGAAGAACATTGTTATCAAATTTAAAGAGATGATAGACATCATTGCATAATAAACATGATGTGCCTATCCTTACCGGGTTTACAATTAAACTATAAGCTATTCTGCTATTCTACCAACGCTCACAATTTGTCAAAAAATGTTTACTTACTGTTTTTAACCGATTTTATACTGGCAATACCCAGATCTTCAATCTTGCGAGCCATTTACGTAACTCATGATAATATAATCTAAATGTACATGTCTATAGAAACCAGGCTTGCATTGATAACAATATACCAGATCATCTATATATTTATTATTTAGACAATTACCATCACAGGTATAACTTTAACTTACATGAATACCATATTATATTCGTAACTTGAAGTAAAATATGCAATGTGAACACCATTTGATAAATATAAGATGACAATAACTCAGACATGTCGAACATTTGATCATGATTGACAGTCAATAGAATATTCGTAACACTATAAATACACAAACGTTAATTAAAATACATTGAAGTGATATGTTTTGAAATATACTTTTTAGCTGTTTTTGCTGTTACTGTTATTATCTTAAAGTAAATATATATTAATACGACCAAAAGACAAAATCTTCGTGCAGCCGAAACTTAACATAACGTGAATTAATAACATCTAATGTATAAGACTCGTCCAAACTTATCACTAAAATGTTACTTATTAATAAACAGTCCATGGATTATTATGTAATACGTACGAGCAAATACTTTATTAGCAAACACTGCAGGTATAAATGATACAGTTTGAAGGACCCGGTAGGTAGGCATATTATTATCTAAAATTAACCAAATTGAAAAAAAAGAAAGAAAAAGAAACAAATAATGTAAAATATCAAAACAATGAAAGGCTATTGTAACGTATATTAAGTATTAAATTTTATATGTAACTTAGAAATAAGATATAAATTGTTGTTGTGTTTTTTAACCATAGTATGTGTCACACTTACTATTCAATATCAAATAAATATTTTCTAGTGGAATGACATAGCCCGTTTGATTATTGCTCTGATTAGACTATAGTCTGGAATATTGACATATTGACATATGCATACAATATCTATGGCTTAGTATATGTCTGAATAAAATGCAAAAATAGCATGAACAGCGGAAATAACTAGTAAAGTTTTAAAAAATACACATTTATATGAAGTAATGTTGTGGGATTTAATAAATAAAGATAAAACAATGTATTACCTTTAACATACTACACCTTATATTAAAATTCATTTATTTTTGCGTTGTAAACTGAACATATTATTAAGATGTATGACAAAATGGTTAAGTAAGTTTGACATTTAGTTTCAGTCTTCTGCTAATACAGGACTGAACTATTTGGAAAAAACGTATATAAAGAAATATAAGGTAAAATAATATTGAAACCCCCGTAAGTCGTAGTTTCCATGCTAAAATAAACTATGTCTTTACATTAATTATTTACCTTAATGGTATCCGTACTTACAACATCGCTAGAAGAAAGTAGATAAATTATGAAATTACCTAATTATAGTAAATAATCCGTTTCCAAAGTGATGTAAAGCCAGGTAAAGCCCTATTTTAAAGACAATATGATGATATGAAAATAAAATCTGCAAGATATAAGTAACGGGGTAATGTACTTTTTTCGTGAATTTACACTTGCTGAAGCACGATGACGCATTGTTAGTCCGAACATGCAGAGCGAGAAATTTAATCAGATATAAGTCCGAGGGTTTAATGTTTGCATTCAAGTGTGATCCGGTAATTTCTCGTAGTATAAAAGTTCTTCGTTAAAGTAGCTAATTAAAGTAACTTTGATTATTTTAAGTGCCATAACTAACCATGATGCTTTTCTTAAAAATGAAAGAGACAGGAACTTAGTATTTGAAACCTGGTCCTCTTGGAAATCTAGAAGAAAGTGTGTTATTTCTCTGTTAAATACATGTATATACATTATAATTTTTCATATTATCTCAAAATATGTTTATTCTTTATACTACTGCATTTTGTTACAGAAAAAACAAAACAATTAACAACTGATTTTATTTTGTCTTTTATCATAAATTGAGCGTGATTGAATAATGCGTGGGGTTAGAAACTGAATCTCTTACATGTATGTCTAAGTAAACGTAGAAAACATTTGCTTGCATTACACGGAATAAAATGGCCATCAGAATATTGCATACGAATGATATAAGTCAAGGTTACGTTTCATAGAAAATCCTAAGTGTATTTAAAGTCCTAAGATGTCAGAATACTTATACAATAAACAAATGACCGCTTCAATATTTCTTACTTAGACAGGTACTTCAGAAAATGATTAAAATCGTCTTCATAGGAAAAGTTAGAATAAACAATAGCGCGATTTAATCCTCAAAATGTTAATTTTTCATGTAAATTGTTATTAAGAAATTTAAGGGGTTATAACAAAAGAGTCATAACTAAGGACATTTCTTTTGAAACACAAACTTATATGAACTTTGGAAGAAGACTGATTCAAATTTATGAATTGCTATATGAAGCCTGTCAAAACCATAGTTCAACATTCAAGGCAGTATTCATACTTGACATACCTCCTGTACTCTAAGTTTAGACAAATTTTTGTCCACTCTTAACACATGTTTGAAAACATTTCCTGTATCTTGATCAATCGTAAAAGAAGGGAATTCATGATATTTTATCGCTGCTGATTTTTACAGTACACAGACATAGGCAAGTGAAACTATCTCTACGCAATTTTAAAGAATTCTGGAATATTGACTTCCATGAGTTTTCTCAATCGCTTAAATATAAACAAATATACTTTACCTTACATTTAGGAAAATTCAACAGGCAAATAAGCTAAAATGGGTATTAAAGCTTCTAGTGTTAACGAGCAAACCTCGTTGTCGTAAGTGCTTGTTCGGGATTAAGAATATAAACCTTTATTCACCACCATGAAATATATATTGAAATAAAGAAACAACAAATACAGTCTAAAAGTTCATTTTGATGTTTCAACTAGTAACAAACATTTCTCTTGCATCTATGACAATGTTGTTCCTAGATCTGAAATATAAATAAATAAATAAATAAATAACTAACTAAATAAATAAAAAAAATACCATGAGCAATTAAGGAATCAAGTACACATGTAGTTAAACTAAGCATAATTCTTGATTTACCAAGTAAAAAACATAACAATTAACACTGTATAGATTATCCGTGGTCCTGTTATTACTCAAACGCTCGTAATCATTAGACACTTCAGCTGACTCAGCATTTACAGCTCCAAAATCAGTTCTAGTGTTATAATATGTCGGATTCTCAATGTTTGGTTTGTTGTCGTTGGGCGTTTTTCTTCCCAGATACCTGAATTTCATAATAAAATTTATGATATTATTATAATTATACATTATTACATAAAAAGTGTATTTTATGTATTAGGTAAAAATGTATCAACCGACAAAATAAACTATCAATAAACTTTATAATACAAACATAACAAAAAATCATAATTAAATAGCAATACTGATATCATCTTTATTATGATTATAACATAAATTCATCAGTAAAGAGAATTTGTTTTACATTAGGAACAAACATCATGTATAGTATTAAATTAGCGAATATATTCACCTTCGTCTAATTAGCTTAAACAAAGCAGCAAATACTACTATGGCAGCACAAGATCCAAATCCAGAGAAATAACCAATGGTAAAAATATTAGCTTGATCATCACGACGCACAAATGTTTGTTGTTGTGTTACAGGTTCGGCTGGTGTTGTTATTGTTGATGTCATTGATGTTTCTGCAGATATAACATTGACGTGTATTAAACATTACCCTTACAATGATCTTATATTCTCGTCATAAACTGCACAAACAGTCGTCGAAGATCACTCGGATTGAGCGCGAGACTCATAATCCCGACATTAAAGGTTCGATTCTAGAGCTGGCAATCTAAAATTACTATAACAGTATTTCGGATCAATATCTCTTTAAAACCACAATAATACAAAACAATGGGGGAAAATATTGACTATACATCACTGTTTACTATGAATTTGATTCAGTGAGAATGAGCTAGTGTTTTGAGTGCATTAAATCTTATTATTACTTTACACGAGTTAAAACATTCAAACGTACAAATTAGTAATAATTACCAACGTCAAAAGTATACAAACACGTGTAGACAAAGAAAATAAAGTACTTATAATATCCCTTTTATGCCACCATAAGAAAGGGCGAATAATTCATTATAATCATAAATTTGATTTAATTCATATGAGCTACTTATCAATAAATTATTTTAAAATGAATTCCTGGCAGTAATTATATGCACATTGTTTACCGATTGTGATAGTTTGAGTACATTTATCTCCGGTCAGTCCATCCTTACATCCATCTGTACATGTACCGTTGTTTCGATCACATATATGATTTTTACATCCACCAGGACAAGGTTTATCACAGGTGTCGCCCCAATATGTTTGGTTACACCCGTTTAGACAATATCCGTCTGCATGTCCACATGTAGGTTTTCCACTTATTACTATGCATGACGGGTTACAGGCTAAACTGCAATCGGTTGAGTAAAAATTACCAACACACAGTAGACAACTATTTCCGTTATCTTTTGAGCACTTTAAACACTTACTGTTACATTGTTCAGAACATTTTTCACCAGTCCAGCTCTCAATACATTCTCCTTGACATATTCCATAACTATCACAATACGTAGAACATCCATCTGGGCACAATGATGTGTGTGATCCGCATGTTTGACCATTGAATATTTGTCCTTCTGCACAATCAGCGCAGACTAACGAATCATTGTGTATTTGACACTGGTTACAACCTGGAATAACACAATCCGGACAATGCGTGTCTTGGAAACATGACACACAGTGAATATTGTCATTGAACTTATATAGTTGAAAACCATTATTGCAAATATAACATGTTTTGCCATCTGTACAATGTTTACAATTTGTGGGACAATTTTGACATATTGTTTCGACACTAGCTGTAAACTCATAAAATCCAGTTTTACAACCACTCGCGCAAATACGTAAATCACAACGTTCATTTTCACATAAACTACAATTTTGATGACACATAAGCCCATAGAAACCAGACTTAAATTGAGTACAATATCCCGTATCATCCTGACATTCATTATTTAGACAATTACCATAACAGTTGAAAGTACATCGTGCGTGCAAACCATACTTTTTCGGCTTACATGAAGTACACTTATCCCAGTTGGTACAAGTTTCACAATCTTGAGGGCATGGTGAACAAAAGCCATTTGATAAATAGTAAGATGATTTACAACTTGTGCAAGTTGAACCAGTGCATGACTGGCATCCAACAGAACATTCTGTATAAAATATATGTGTCTACTTATGTTTTAAATAATATATATATACATATATATTATTCACATATAATTATACAATATGATAAATCAATAATAGTCTTAGCCAATTAAACCGAAATAAAATTTAGGTCATGCACATAAAAAAATCTTAAAGACTTCCTCTGCAACCGAATACTATTAATATCAGATCAATTGATGCATGCTTTCAATTTTTAAGGATGCATTTAAGTAATTAAAGAAAATATTACACAGAAGTTGAACTATTTACCGACAAATACCATATCAACAAACAGTACCAGTACTAATGCTGAAGTTGCCTGAGAAAACATATTGCTCATTCATGTAAGCAATATAATCTAAAATGCAAAGTATTATACATATTTATAATGGTGTGATCAGCTTATTGTAATGAGTTAAGATGTAAATATTTATAAATAACTATACAATGTTGTGTGTATAAATCTTCATTTTTGGTTATACCTCTACTTAAAAGTCGAAATGGCACTTATACTACATCATTTGTCTTATAAGATACTAACTGCTTTATAATAAAACAGTTTTAAACATTTTGTGTACCTTATATAGAGTGATAAGACACTTTAAAGCTAAGATCTATAAAATAATGAATTGTTAAAAAGAAACAGAGTCAAAATATTCTTACAATACTGATATCCGTTTTCTTGTTTAAGAAAGCAAAGTAGTTTTTTCAATTAACTAAAAAGTTTAATACTAACAATATGTGTGTGTGGTTATTAATCCTTTTTCAAAACTTCCTGTTTTAAATGTGTGCATAGAATATAAATTATGCTTCAGTAACTCTCTATACAACACTTCTAAGCGCTATTTTTAGACGCATATGCATTATAAAGCATTTATACGGGTGAAAACTGTGAGATATTTAACTTCATAATTTTACGATTTCAACTATACAATTCACGTCATCATAATATTTACTTAATTAATTATAACTTATAACGTCATGAATTTATTAAGTAGAGGTTATTTCAAGTGTGCCTTTAGTCCATATTGGCACACTTGGTAAATTTTCGCATGTAATATTCAGAAAAAAGAAACGCATTTTTGTATTACTAATTATAGTAACATATGCAATAAAATTTATTATAATTGTATCTTCTTGTAAATTAATATTAATTAAAATATTCATAAAGTTAATGATTAAATTCAATTTATTGTTAAGCTATTGTTAAGCTAAAACTTATAAAGTTTAATTCGCGAATTCGTTAGGTTCGAATCGTGAAGTTCAAATGTGTATACATTAACTTAAAGGTTTGTTGTTGTAATTTTTTAAATGTCGTAAATTTGTGAATTCAACTTGGTAAAAGATAAAATTGAGAAATTAGGAAGTTTTAATCGCCAGTTCGTTAAGATGGTATGTTCTTAAGTTCATACATGTAGTGTTATTTTAACAGGATCAATCTCTACACTTTTTAACAAAACAAAGAATTTCTGTGTATCTGTATGGAAATAAAGTCAATTTGAAAGAAGTTTTTTCTCTCATTCTTCTCTTGTATGTCTGAATCAAACATTTTATAAACCAAATTTTGTGAGTTGCTTCATATTTTAAATTATTTTATATTTTTATTGGCAGATTATGTTTTGAAACGTTGTTTAACTTTTATGCCTTTTCCAGTTAATTTTCTGATAAGGACGTCCAACTACAAAGAAAGTGTACTCGTACCTACGCTACAGAATTAAAAAATATTTACGAATGGTAAGTAAAGCATTTTCATGATAAGCACAGTTGTTTGATCCACGAATTAGCCTTTACCTCGTAAATACTGTCTCAGTCACGTTTTGATAGCTAATTTTAGTGTAATATAAGCGAGATTTTTACGCACGCGTAAAATGGCTGCTAAGGAATGGTCAATTATGCACACCGAAATAATAACTAGGTAGACGAATGTCTGTCAAGATCTGAGCAGTTGATAAAATTATAAGGGAAGCATTACGACACGAAAATATCATTTCGTCGCACTAGTAATATTCGTTTGATACTGTGACATGACAGGTACTATTTATTCAATGTTGAATTTTGTATCCGACACCATGTATCTTATTTATATATAGACAGCTCTGACACGCTCGTAATGGTTTATCCTAATGTCTTATATATTATTCAATTGTCCTTCAATTAAACGATATTTAAACTTTAAATAAGCAAATGACCAACAATTAAAATCACATTTAAATATATAAAAAAGAATACATGTATCAGACCCGTTACAAATCAAACCAAAATAAAAAGAAACAACATATGTGTAACCTCGCTTTATTTTTTAAAACGCGGCTATCATTTTTTTTGAAGTAGCACAACACTTTCCAAATCATCTCAAAAGAAAAAGTTATAAAACTTTAAAATACATATGTATGTAAATTTAAATTTCTTCAAAACAATCTTTTTTTCTAGTTTCTAAAAATTTACAAACGGATAAAAATTCAGATGTTTTAGTACAATCTAATGCAACACCAACGCGTTTCTTTCATATGAAACAGTTCCACTTTATGTGGAGACACATCGCACTTACCTTTGCTATGTACATATTATATAACGCATTGTTTAATTGAAGATTTAATCTCGGTAATCTACAGACAGTTGCACAGTCCATTATTTGTATACGAAGTTAAATAAACATGGTCCTTTCATTTGAGAAAAATGTAGATAAAAATGTTTTGCAACAAAGCAAGCAATTTTAATTTGGTCATGAGGTGTAAAGCTGATGCATATACTTTTGGTCATATTGTTGACAAAAAAAATTGTGTTATTCAGCAGTAAATCTTACGTGTATTTCAAAATCTTAATGACGCGGCTGCATTGCAGCCGAATGACACGATTTATTTGGCTTATTGCTCATATATACACGTTGCTTATTCATTCTGGAAATAAATTTTGTTTATCTGCGAGATGTTTCTAATGATCCAAAATAGTAATGGTATTCCGTTAAATAACACTGTAACCTGTATACATCAAGAAGGATTAAAGGGAGACACAGTCAAAATTTTCATATTTTAGATTTTAATTTTCTATCCAATATTCTATAAATGTCATCGAAATGAATAGACTAAGCAGTCCTTGAAACAAAATTTGTTTCCATATAAAGAAAAAAATGTTGGTTTCCTAACCTGACCCACGCGGGTCAAGTTACAGCATTTAGATTTCACCATAGTTATCACCGTGAACTATAAAAACGTAAAAGAACCTGTCAAATGAGCGACTTAGGCTTGTTTTAATCTTACAATATCTACAATATTTGTTTTGTTAACTTCTAGGGATTGTAATTGTCACATGACTTGTTTTAAAACTACTCATTAGTTCTTTCTGCGTCGTCATTTCGTTCAACATATGTAGACTTATTTAGGTTTTAAACTCACATTATAAAGTATTTATACAGACAAAAAACATGCAGGGACTTTTAATCACTTTTTAAACTTCATTTTAGCATAAGTTAAGTAAATATGGTAAATTTAATATTTTGTCATATATTTGCCTGAGTATCCCTTTAAGTGCAATTTAGTTTTAACTACCGCTATGAGCAATTATTGCTATTCATAGAAATGCTTGTATTCCGACTTTCTTTGAAGCAAGTTGAATGTATGACATTTTGTAAATATGTTTAGTACAATTACTACCTAAACAATCTTTTGCCAATTATGTATGTATATAGTAGCAATTAGTGTACCAAAATGTAAACAAGATATAATTGTAAGCTGGCGTTTACATACCTAAATGATTAAAATTTGGTTTTATTTGTCGGGAGGTTCCTGATTGTTTGTGTGTCTCAACGTTCTGTCTTTATACCATCTGTCCAGTATATTGTTTCGAATATATACCTTATACAATGTACCATTTGTAGCTACATGCGAGAATTGAAAGGACTCATTTACATTATTATCTATAATTTATTTGACTTCTTTTAATGTTTTTATACCATATGTAGAAATACAGGAAATAATCATTTTTTTTTCAAAGAAATTTAATAGTTATATGCTGTAACCGTGTGTTTATACAATCAAAATACTATATTTAGCGCAGGTTACATTGTAAGTTCATTTGCTGTAAAGAAAAAAACAAGTGTTCTATGAAACTAGCTTTATTATATACGGTGAACAAAATATCATGAAACGGTAGAGAATAAAAAAAGAACATAAATAAACAAAAAAGCTATAGAAAGCACATTTATATACCTAATACACAATGCATACATTTTGCTATCAGTATCATCAGTGTAAGCATGTAAAATGTTATTCAAACATAGTATTTCAGAGCAAGTTACCGTATACTTCACAGCAGCAGGTGTCAAGTGCTGTGTGGCAGCCGTAAAACGTTGCCCCGTACTTTACTTCAGTGTTCTCATTTTTTTGGTCCTTCGGTATCATTGAGTTCAGCACTATTAAGTGTTGAGAAATTGAGTACCGCTCAAGCCGGTGCTAGCAGGCGTGATGAATGTTGCACACTTTCATTATCCCTAATGTACAGAATCAATCAAACCGAGTCTGTAATTTTCATGTATTTTTTCTATTTTAAATGCTTCCGGGGGATCACTATTTTACAGATATTAACCGTACTTGATTGGGTATAATTACAAACAGTCTTAACTGTTTTGTTTTCGTCAAAACACACAGGTTGCAGGCTCAGTTTGATTGAGCCTTTTCATGTTCGCTAGTGGAAAAAATCAAGCTACCGTTCATGCATGCGCTTAACACCGGCTTAAGAATTTAAGAATTTAACATTTTTCTTCCTTTTTCCGCATTCCCGGACAAAAGGACGTCGGATAAACTTATAGGATATTAAAGTAAAATGGTTGAATTACGATTCAATAACCATTGTTCTTAACATAATACGATCCTTCGTTGTAAACAATTTTGACAATTTATTCATAAAAGCTTCCATGCGATTTTTCTATATTCAATTAAATTGGAATTATAAATACGTAAAAATGAATTGTGCTGTACCGCATTTGCTTCTTGTTGAAAATCTGTTCACGGTAGAGAATGCCATTATTGTCGTACATGGCCTACATGTTAAATATCAAACTGACTCTTGTCCTTTGGAAATGTTGAAATATTGAGCGGGAAAGATGTAGATTGTGTATTATTAAACACTATATCATAATCTTGAACATCATTTTAATGATCTGTAAGGTATTTGAATCTTTGAATCATTAGCTTTATTTGTAATAAATAAATAATGAAATCGAATACAACGCAGTGCCATCTGTGACATGATACTGTTTGTTTGTTTGTTTGTTTTCCTGTTTTTCTTATGCGACCGATCAACCTAACTAGTTTTCCAGTTTCAATAAGGCTTGAATGACCACCATGGCAGTAAATTAAGCAACATATTTATTTTCTTGTCAATACTTCTTTATATAATAACGGATGCATATATTATTATTCATATTTGCGTTAAATCTAAGATATTTGCTAAACTTTTCGTGTCAATAAATTTGTTTGATAATGAAATTTGTTACAAAGAAATTCACGCTTTTGCCAATGTTGCAACTTGGCAACGCTTTTGACTTCATAAAAAGTGTCTTAATCACATTGTTTTCCATTTGTTAAATTAAATGCAATTCTATATAATTTTATAAGGTACGAACACAAAAGTCACAGTCATTACGTTAGCTAGGTTGTTGTCATATTCACGAATGATCTTAAAAAGCAAAACAGTCTTTGTAAACATTTGTATTTTTGCAGTTGTATCCACTTATTGATTGCTTTCAATTAAATTTCTTTCAGATATTTTGGTATGCTTACGTTCTGCGTTGTTTGTTTCGGCAATAAATCTGCACAAATTAAGCCTTTCTTTTGCGCAATTCATGCCTTATTAATTCCTTTAAACTTTGTTTATCCTATGAATAATACATACGAAGTGAGTATGTACATATTACAAGAAGGCAAGACTAAAACTTGAAGAAAAAATACAACAACAGAAGAAATCAAAGCACAGAAGGCGCTGAATTTGTTTGGGTCTCAAAATGAAAGAAAGGTACAGGTTGTGAGATTATATGTATAGTTCCACCAATTCTTTCCAGCGTTTTAATTGTAGTAAATTGGCTATAAGACTAATTGCAACACTGATATTCAATCCAATGTTTATTTGACTTAAACAATTTGAAAAAAAATGAGTTGCCTTTACTGGTATTTGAACTCCAGACCTCTCGCTTCCTAAGCGAGCGCGTAAACCCTTCAGCCACGGTGAATTTATATGTGAACGGTCTGAAGAAAACCATGATATTATTCTAAATTAGGCCTTGAACGACTTTAACTGTTGTTTAACACAGATGTAAATAATCCTTACTGTAAGCATGTATATTTATAAAGAATCAAAGGGCTGCAAGTTCTGTGGTATTTTCTGATCTTTGCAATCTAAATCGTACTGTATATATGTATGTATTTTCCTGTATAAGTTTATTTTATGTAATATAATTCATTTTGCAAGGCACCAGAGTTTGATACATACGGAATTCTGCATAACTAGAGTTGCATCAAAATATCATTTATGTTCATTTTTTACGACAGCTACACTTTATCCTTGCATATCATGGCTACTTCCTTAACAAAGACACTTAAAAAAGAATTTAAAAAAATTTTTTCCTCGACTGGGATTTGAACTCCAGACCTCTCACTCACCAAGCGAGCGCGTTACCACTGCACCACGGAGAAGTTATTCAAACAACAATTGAATAACATCAAGTCATTCTAAATTTAGAACTTCCATTGCATTTCGGGTTGGTAATCCTTATTAATTTCGAGGTATTTTGTTCAGGATAAACATGTTGTTTAAAATTGAACTAGTTAATTTAGCGAAAATCTTCTCGCCCAAACAGTCCGATATGTAGAATCTATATATTCCACTACTCGGTCTGTGTAGTATTCGGTAATCGACATAGCTAAAAATAGTATTTTCATTGATAAAATCATATTCATCCGCGTAATTTGTGATTGTGCATTTATTGACAATTCTATAAGCCAACGCTATTTTTAAACTTTGAATGCGTTGTAATTTGTTGGATACTTGTAACAAAATAAAAATATTTCTTTCTTTTAAATCGCTAGTTTTAAGCTGTTTTGAGAACTACTTGTTGTTAGGTTCGTCGTAAACTTCTGTGTCAGAGATTGAATGTCCGCTTTGTCTTTACTTATTTTTGATCAGAAAATACAATAAAACAATATTAGAAATCTTCGACCATTCGGGAATTATTTTGCTTGAAAATTAATGTGCCTGTCTTTGACCATCTTTACGCAGTGATCTCCCCTGAATTTTTCGGAGTTAGTGTACATATAAAGGGAAGTAACCGCTTCAAAAAAGTGGACTACTTTCGGCATTTGCAATTAACAGCATTAGACTCTGAAATTTCGCTACCATTATTTGTTTGGTCTGACGACCCAAACAAATAAAAAGCTTCTTTATATGTCAATTCTTGTTTAATTATATTAGATGCATGTCATAAATTTGATATATTAAGATGTTGCAATTATATTTAAGTTATTAACATGTGCTCTAAAGGATAGATTTTTTTAAAGATATTTTCAGAATTGAACAGAATAATGAATGGAATAATATTATGAGACATATTGGGATATGCATGCAGTTTTATGAAAAAATATGTTATAATAGGCCGATCTGATTGAAAAAGATAAACATGCAAGGTACATAACGCGCTTTGATTGTGAACCGAATTAACAAACCGTTTCCTCTATAAATAACATAAGTCTAAGAACTAATCTGTACTGTTAAATTCTAAATTCAAAACGGTAAATGTACTTTAATTTGTACACATAAGACAATATAAAAGAATTTGAACCCCAAGATAAATGAAGTGATATACACAAAATTTCGATCGTTTTATGTTGATTTGCATTATATGAATTATTTCTATGTCTTTCAAAAGAAGATTATCTTTCTGGATAATATGCTTCTTAAAACATAAATGTGGATGCATTAACTGAATGCCTCCCTTCCTTGTTGATCTTCTTTTCATATTCGGAGCCTTTTCCTTATAGTAGTCAAATCAAATCGTGTACTTGTGTTAGTCCTGTCGATTAATATTAGGCAAAAGTTCGTCTTAGTTTGTGTCGCAGATATTTAGCTTCCTTCAAGTTCTTAAGTCAATTTCTTATAGTTATTTGAGAAAAAGGCTCACCCTCTTGTCTAAATGAGATTACCTTGTCACACACACAAATTCAAAAGATATAAGATAGACATGATTTTTCTTGTTTAAATGTTTGACTGTCTAAGTGACTTTAATGCTTTCGTCTGATAATCTTAGTTATGCATGTCATCATAATGACTAACATTTTACCATATGAAAGATTAGTACATTTCGCGCAGCGATTATAGTAGGGAACTGAAACATTTATTGGAGAACCTGGGACATACCATATTCAGATTATTTCAATGTATAAAATGTTTTTATATAAAATCATTAGAAATTTACACCATTTTCTACGTTTAAGTTTAGTAGGCTTTGATCTTTTATGAACATTTCTGTAAATAATGGTGAGTAAAATTGTCTGTTATTTAACCTCATGTAGCATCTAGTAAATCAAAGATCTCAAGCAGTTTTTTAAAGTAAACTTCGCTTTGACTGAAATCGAAAGAACTTCTCTCTTTTTCCATTTTAACCTCATACAAGTTGGTTTACACAAAATCGCTTTTCTGTTCATTTTTTATCAAAATAAGATCACTGAGACGCAAGTAATGTTCTTTAAGCTCACTCAATGTTAAGTTTTTTTAGACAATGTCTCTAAAGCAATAACTGATTTTTTTTTTACAAAATAGCAAAACGCTTTCAGTTATATGGCAATACCGATTAACAAATATAATGATTGCTTCACGCGGTATAATTATAATATACATGTACTATTTCCCCTTGTAGGAAGTGTGTAGACTTACTATTACAGTGTTTGCCGCTTAATGCAGGAATGTGAAAAACCCCACAGGAACTGTGCAATAGTAACACCGAATCTGAGCATATTTGGTTTAAGAGAGCATTGGGGTATGGTTATGAAAGGCAATGTGTAATTTCACCCACTAGCATATGGCTTTATCAGAAAGTAACTATAAATGATATAATTTATTAATATATACGAGTATTTGAAGATAAAACTAACAACAAAACAGATTTACATGTCATTAATATATTAAAGCTTGAGTATTACAAAGCTAACAATTAAAACAGACATAAGTGTAACAATATTATTTAAAAGTAAATGCAAAACGTATACAAAATAAGATATAGGGTAACATATTAAAAACTTATATTGAACACCACAGGCTGAATGTAAAAGAAAACATCTTATTTTCAAATTTATGTGTTGAATAAATAAAGCCATTTAGTTTGAGATCAAGTATAGAACTATATCTGCGAACAACTCATGCAGAAGAAGCTTTATTTTATAAACTTACATGTAGAATAAAACTGTTTACAAGTATAGTGTATAAACAAAACAGTCAGTCTATATCTGAATTAAAATGTCTCTACTTTCTATACTCATGTTGAAAAATATCTATAGTTTACTTATCTGTAGAATGAGGATATTAATGATAACCAATAGGAAGATTAAAAGATGAAGATCATGTTTGAAAAGATTATTATCTATAAACCACTTTCATTTAGACCATAATATATTAAATATGTAAACTGTTTTTGTAGATATTTAATTTTATACAACTCATGGACAGATAATAAACATATGTTGGATAGACGGTGGAATATTGTAAACTGAAGTTGGACAACCTGAATTAGTTTATAAACCTATTCAAATTACACTAACTTTTCGAATCAAGTTTAAAATGCTCAAGTGTATAAATCTCTTCTATAAAGGTAAATATTTACTTATATATGTTTTGATTATCATAATTTATCAAATTAAAGCATACTCTTTAAAACACGGTTGGAAAGGCTATAACATAATAATTTTTTTCAAATCATGCACTACTAGTTAAGAAAACGTGCTTTTAAAGTCTGTACTTTATTTCTATGTTATTTTATAATAAGCAATAATACTGTTCTTAAAGGAGGACACTCGAGAGCTATAAAAAAAGGAAAAAGTTGATAATATCAGACTCGGTTTATTGAGTCCGCTCATTAGATAAAATGAAATATATAAATTTTAGTTTAAAAGACATTATAGCTTATTTACCTTTTTGGATATAAAAACCTTACTTTTAGGGAAAGAAGCAAAATAAGTATGATAAATACTTAATTCAATTAAGCCATAAAGCAAAGACTTACACACAGAATAATATTTCACTCATATTTCTTTAATATATTGATTGATATATTGATTTTTTCATAAAACTAATACTTTCTTTTATCACAATCATAATATAATTTGTTTAAATTATTCATATATTTATGTTTATTGCACATGGCAGATATAAAAGCTAAATAGTAGTTATTGTTCTGCCAGTTTTTTTATACCATTACTCGATTCATAATGATATATGTTAGTCCTTCAAAACATACCATATTGAGAAAAAATAAAACAAATTAACTTGCATGAAATGTGACCGTCTTATATTATATCATTGAATTATATACTTTACAATATTCAATAAGAAAATTAGTATCATGCTTTTCATTAATAACTAAATATGATTAGAACATAGTAAAATAAAATCAAATGTTTATTTTAAGCATACAAATGCATACTGTTCGCTAAATGCATCGAAAATTACAAATACGCGCGACTTTAGATAATTAAACAAAAAAGCAGTTAGAAAACCGTTATAACAATATTTCAAAACTTCACAGTACTGTACACTGTAAATTTTTATCATATTTATAAACGTGTCTTTACATGATTGTATTTAAAAACAATGAGTATTCTTTTTAGAAGATGTTGTAAAATTGAGTTAAGAACATGTAAGATGCATATCACCTGAAGGAAACGGTGCTCAATGAGGTATATTTTTTTTTAAATATAGGTTAGAAAAATGTAAACAAAATTGCATTTTGATCTATATAAAATACCAAAAGACTTTAACTGTTTTTTTTTACCAAAACAACACTAAAACATTATGGCTCACTTTTATGCATGGCCAATGAGTAATATGTCTTTTCAGAGATTGCAACAGGACACACAATAAAAGCTTTTGAAACATAAAAGTATTAGCATTTTCAGCCTTTAAACAAGTGTCATATTTGTGTAAAACATGGACAATGGACAAGTAATTAATTGATCATAAAGACGAATTTCTTCAACCATTGTTCACAACAGCTCGTTCATATTATAGTATTTCTTCTTGTCGGAAATCTCAGCAAGATATTTTACATGTTGGTAACAAAACCTGAATTGTGCCTGAAATAAAGTGAATTGATAATTTAGACCATAATAATAATAATAATAATTTAATAATTCCATGATATCAATTTGTCAATAACTGTATTTTTTGTGTTTTATTTTATGTAATTTTAAACAATCAGTCTTTCCTGGTAGACATAGGCAATGTTGTGCAATTGATTTGACAATTAGGCGAATTTATTTTACTGATATATTTGCGAGAAGATAAAAAATGTTAAGTAAATACATGTTTGCGGGGGTTTATATAAGATGAAATATTCTGAAATATCAGACAAGTTCAAAATAATGATAAGTTGGGTATATTCGTATAGGGCACATGTTTACTTATTTATGCAATGTGAAGTGACATAGAAAACTTTGACTCAATAGCTCGTCAAAAACAACTTAAATAAGAAGCAATCAATAGAGAATAGTTTTCGAAACTGCATATTAAGATAGTACCTTAAATTTAGCTAATTCACATGCCTTTTATGAGGGTAGTTAATTTATTACTTACAATGTCGGTAAAAGCTGACTTCCTCCTTGAACGCAGTTGACAAATGGTATTCAGGACACTAATTTCTTTCTCAAAGAAACACTTTTCTGATATAATAGAGACAGCACAAAATAAACAGCTTCGTTCAGCTCCAGTCCTATAAATAACAGCATTAAATCACAAAGTATCAATATAATTTTACGTATATATTTACATATCAACAAAAAATTCAAGCCGAATCAAAAACGCAAAAATAAATCTAGTTTTGTTTGTTTGATTGGGTTTTACGCCACACCGACACAGCTTTATTGGTGGAGGAAGACCTCAGGTGCCCTACCTTGCATTATTTCAGCATCGAACGGGCACCTGTAATCTAGCTACACAAACAAATACACGGGCAAACATGTATATCGATACCTCTGTATAGAGGAGCAGCAGTAAATCTAAATATGAAAAATTGATGTCGCAAACAAATTCGATTTAATGCAATACTTACAAGCAATGAACTACGATTGGTCTTTCTTCTCTTTGACCTTTCACCTCATCCTCAACGTCCTTGGCCAGCTTAAAAAACGGTTCAACTCTAAGTGGGACATTTTCTGTCTTATTCCACCCGTTATACTGGTACTGTTTCAAGTGCAGCTCTCCTCGAGACAGGTGCTTTATATAACAAAAGAATGCCATTAAGTGTTCATAAGATATAACTGATTATTAAGCGTTACTTGATGTGATGCTTTTATCAGGGTTATTTAAAACGAAGTTCAGTTATCATACAGAATCTAAAAGAAAGTTCTGGATTGAAATAATGTGATGATAGATATAATAATAGATTACTGACCAGCTACAACTGAAATCTCCCAAATCCTGCACACATTTGCTTTTTCAAAATGTTAATTGTTCTTGCAGGATTATGTTTGATCTTGAACAACGAACAAAATGAATGTGATGTATATTAAATGAAAAACAAAAATATTCGAATCTGGAAGGAAAAGCCGAAGCCTTTACTTTTATGTATCGGGACATCAAAAAGATCTGGCGTAATAACTCTTAGAACTTATAAACATCTAAATAAATATTTAAACATCTACCAATCCAGTGCGTGATATTGTCATGTGCCGTATTGTACCATAATCCGTAGTGTCAACCCTCTTACAAGCTACTTGGAAATGTCCAACTTTGAACACCTTTCCATCTTGCGGTAGATAATGTCCGATAGACTGAAATGATTAATATTCAAAAGTGACAAACCTAAAAAATTAAATATCATCTTTTTCTGTTAATTTCTGTGAAAATCAATAATAATATTTGATCAGAATTGTTAGCAAACATTCAAAATCAGTCTAAATTATGATTTGGTATGTACATAAAGTAACATATAAATAGAATGATTTAGAATGCAATGACCTCTCACAGTGTTTAAGCTTTAAAGGTGATTCATTGTTTACCAACCCCATCCCCGAACATTTGTTCATAGCAAACATTTGTATTGCATTAAATTTTGTTTTAAAACGACACTAAAAAGAAATGTGTTAGGTATGGATAAATGTGCCAACGAATACTATTAAATAAAATTTTATATAATTATTTTTAACACGCTAGATATTCTATAAATGTGCACAAACTTTATCTTTTAGGTTTTCGTCGTCCAAATTAATAACGCAGGCACATTTTTCTTGATATAGCATCGATATAAAGTCTTCAACTGTATTCGGCATTGGCGTCTGTGTAACAATAAATTTGAATGGATTTTCGTATCCCTGAAATTTAGATACTATGTTAAATATAATATAACTTAATAATGCCATTTAAAGTATATTTATTCATCGAAATCACGCACATAGTATAAACGATGTTACAACACTTACTATTTCACATATATGTAGACAAATATAAAATAAGTCTACGAACGATAATAACGCGGGAATATGACCAGCTTCATAACTTTTCTAAGATGTGATTTTAAATAGCTTACACATTGTGCTGGGATAATAAACTCTTTTATTAAAATTGTAATAATCATAATAATACCATGTAGAGTCTCAGCGCACTATTTATCAATTCAACTAAATATGTTATCTATATATTCATGAAAGAAAGAAAGGGAAGCAACGCAAGCAAGGTTCATGAAAAAATATTGAAAAGGGGGACAATCGAAACTTCAAACGAAATCAAAATTATATTTGCTTGAATACTTACATTTACATAAATAGCATTGATGTAGTCATGCTTTGTTGATGTCAGTCTCACTCTGTAATCATCGCCTTCACATAAAAATAGAATGTTATTTATTGAAGCCTTAAAATGTTGAATGTAAACTTTTTAATAGTTTTATGTTATAAAGATCTATTTTCGGCCTTAAATTACTTCCTAATGAACAACAGGGTATTTACCCTGAATGCAAACTTAACCAACCACTGAATAGCCACGGTTTTCTATTCAAATGAGAATTTCATACAAATAGGGTATATTTACAGACGATTATTTTCTATTGAAATCTACTATTATTACAGTCTGGTATTATAAGTGTGAATGAAAAAGGAAGTTTACTTACACAATGACTATATGTAATGTGATATTTTTGAAATACAAACTTTAAGAATGTTTAAACTTTTAAATTGTAACAACGTTTGTACACAATTTTGAATTACGGGTTGGTTTCCTATTTTTTTAAACAGATCCAAACTCATGTTTACTGTAAAAAATTATTTTATATTAAGTAAATTTAATCAAGTCAGTTTGCCAAAGGATCATTAAGTCAAAATTCAACTTCTACTTTATATAATTGAAAATGTATTTTATATATTATCCCCATCCCTTTGTGACACTGACTTATTATCATCACTAACAGTTAAAATAAGATCTTTAACGTAATTATATTTTGAATCATAAAATATATCATAATTTATAAATCATATAGAAGATAAGAGAATAATACAATGCAAATTTACATACCAGGAATATCAGCTCCGTGTCTATTTTCCTTCTTTATTTTCTTGTTAGCAGATGATTTATTATCAAACTCTTTCGGTATTACAACATTATTAAATGTCTGAAATGTTTAAATAGTCAACCACAGTTATCCTTTTTACTCAAGGGTATAGAACTGTAAAAGGATGTCAATTAATCAAATTGCATATTGTTTATATAGTAATTTGAATAAAATTAATACACATAAATTAAATTGAATAATAATGACCTTCGTAATGATCATTACTCGATTTTGCACAATACTCGTATGTTCTGATTATACATAAGCTGATAATTGATCAACTGTTAATGGAGTTGGGGTGCAACAGGAAAATGTTCAATCTCAAATCGGAGTACTTGTAAATAGAGTAATATATAGTCTGTTTAAGAATTAATGTAAGGGTGATAACAATCAATCCTTTTATTATCAAATTCCAAAAATTTTAAGGATTGACTTGAAAAAAACCCTTTAAGGACTTAACAAGCAACAATTAGAATGAATAAAACAGCAAAAACTTTCCATCATTTTTTTTCATTGAATCAGTTGAGTGAGACAATTACAATCAGTAAAAAAATGAAGAATATTAAAAAAAACAAGTTATGATAATATAATTAAATTATTAGTTTAAAAAAAGTATATCAATGTACCTGAAATTGATGTGATATTTTATCGTCTGTCATGATGCGAGGAATATGTGTGACCGGAAGTGGATCGGGATCGCATGTGAGTGCATACAGAAGACACCGATGAAGAAATATATACTGTTCCTAAAAAGAGAAAGATCAATACTTGTACTATCATTTCATTTTTTCCATATCAATAATAATGTAAAATTCTTTATTAGAAAGATATTTTTTAAATATACCTCCGACAATATCCCGTTTAGAAAAAACGCAATAAATATTTATAAGTTTATAGACTCACATGTATTTCAAAAAAGATTACAATTGACAAAAAGAGAACAAAAACATAACATTTATGTATAAAATCATACCAGGTTTTGGACCATATGACCTCTTTGTCCACGTAGCGCCATCACACGACCAAAAATGTCAACATAATTGTCATTCTTCCCTTCCTGTATGAGTGTATCCAATGCGATATAGGTTCCAGTTCTACCGATTCCTGCACTGTTATATGATAATAACATAATATTAAAAATTATACAGAATTAAAATCAAATATCAATGTAAAATGTTATCTTTTAAAAGTAAATTCACCAACTTAAGAGATCTTTACTTTTTTGCTTACAGTCATGTCACCCATCTAATAATATTTGCATTGTATTGCTTAATGCCTACTCTTATGGATATGTTAAAATTACATTACTAATTGTAATTTTCATGTTGATATTAGACGACATATGGCGATATTTGACGAATCTTTGTAGTTAGCAGCCATATTTATTATGATGGAAAAACAAATACCTGCAATGCACTACCATTGGGCCAACATCATTTGACTTTGATTGTTCAACTTTGTTCCTAAACTCTATCAGAGAGGCAACATTATCTGGAACAGATCGGTCGGGCCAGGCGGTATAGTGATATTGTGTCACTTGCCTTGATCCAGAGCCCTTTGAAATTAAAGAAGACATTGATATCAATGGTGCATTATCTTTTGAGGTGTGTAGTTTGCAAATAATTAAAAGAAAAATTACTTTAATCTAGGGATATAAATAATTTTTGTTCAACATATTAGAAAGATCAAACAAATAGAACATTTATGTCTTAAACGATAATCAAATCATAGCTCATTACGATTACATTTATGTTTTGATACCATATAACACACCTGTACATTAACAGAAAACTCCCTTAAAGTGAATTCTGAAAATATTTTCTCAGCAATGCACACCACTTTGTATCCATGGTAATTCTTTGTTTTTCCTTGATCTGGCCAATACTGCTCACATTTCATTTTCTATGAAGTAAGCAAAGAATGATTTTTTTTATGTTTCCGACAGTAAATAAATTATTGTCTATAGTACCAAATTATACGTGACACACGATAAGTAAGTGAGCAATACAATTAATTATACGTAGAAAATAATATAATTGGCTTTATACAAACTGTTTAAAATGCAATTATTATTAAATGTATGCATATAACTCTCAGTATATGTATAATTTTATTACTTTAAGTGTATAGAAAATGTTTCTAATGATTCTAAAATAATAAGTTTTAATCAAGCTGAATCTTTGTTCAAGTGTTGGTATATGAAGTCAAGTTAATCAGGAAAAATACGAAACTAAATCCATTTTTTTTCAGCAAGTGTGGTAATATACATACCCCTGACTCATCTAGATTGGTCAACATAATAATTTTATCTGTTTTTTCTTCCCATATCATCTCCCAAAAGTCTGTGTAAGCATTCATTGTATCTTTAGTTGGTCCTTAAATTAGTAATGAGTAAAGAAATATAAGAGGAATATTGGTGGAAATATGTCACCCTCAAGTTATAGAATTTCCCAAAATATGTAAGTAATATCTCCACATTGCCTTTTAATGAAAACTTATTTACAGCACGAGGTCTGAAAAAGAGACGTGCTACCAGAACAAAGCGAAAATAGTTCACATTTGCAGACTCTGATGTAATGAGTCAGTCAAGAGAAACAGTGTTTTTTACAACTTAATAAAAAACTTGTTTTTAAAACTGAAATCAAGAATAAAAAGCGTGTATGTAAGAATAAATAAAATATTTATATCAAGAGCCAAGTGCTTGCAAAATAAAATACAATTAGATATAGTAAAATTGTTTTTTTTAACTTTTAAATTTCTCCTATATATTACTGAGATAAAACTGAGTATACATACCGAGAGGGCTATGTACTCTGGAGACTTCTTGTGTCCCTATATTATGAAATATGCAATTAATATGCAATATTTCCATATATAAATATCCATATACAAACATCAATGATGATTACTGAATATCGTCTGGTCAAGCAATGCTAAGTTCTTGTCAACACAAAAATATTTCTTGTTTTATTTATTTTGTTCAGACTAACTGTTAAGAGATAAAAAGATGACACCCTTAGTATGTTAAACTACATATACAATGTATACGTGATATCAAATCACTAGTTAACACAGGATCGTCAGTGAAAAATGTTTACATGCTGAAAAAACATGCTAAACATGCAAATATTCCTATGTTACTGAAAAAACATGCTAAACATGCAAATATTCTTATGTTACAATAACGAGACAACCTCTGTTACAAATAATTATAAAAAAACATGTATGCGAGTTTATACATACATCATTGTAGTTTGCGTTGATATAGGTTTTACTTTGTAAAATAACACGAGTCGCATCATCTAAAACAGAGAAAAAAGTGATCCCTCTTAGTGCTCGAATTAATGCCAGGTATATTATGCTCGTCTTAGGATAAATATAAATATTATAGATATTAGTTGAAAGCTTGGATATTTTATTAGATATGCCTAATTTGATTATAAATGATGCACGTACTTTGTTAAAAGCTAAATTTGTAATTTCTTAAAACAAAGTATATTTTTCTTCAATAACAATATGTTTTCATATTATATCTTCTATCAGTCTGTTCAGAAGGTGTTTATTTTACATTTATAGCGAAACTGTTCAGAAGTCAATATCAGTATTGTCAAATATCATATAAAAGGACATTATAAAATACGAGTACATTGTATAACGTAAATGAATTTAGTATTGAAAAAAGAAACCAGCCAAACCTCACGAATAGTTTCTTACAAAAAACAAATATTTACATGCATAAACTCCGTTATATCTGTTTTTCTTGCGGTTAGTCCGAGTGAGAGCTTCGTCACAAGGCCTTGTCAAACCTTTAGGTAGTTTCTAAAATTAAAATTTTTGTAACATTATAACACCAAACGTAATAATAGTTTATTTATTATGTATCAACGAATTAATCGTCGCTATATCAATATAATTATAATACATTGTACAAGTTTATCTATTGGTCGCCTATATGACTAAAGTAATGTTGGAAAAGGCGTAAAATGAAACAAACAAACAAACAAACAAATTATCTATTGGACCGATATAATTTATTTACGCAACTGTGCAGTATTAAATTACAACATTTAATTGCTCCTGCAATAATTTATATTTTATAGTATCTTGTTTCAAGCTAAAAAAAGACATACCCAGTTTCATCTATCCTATACTAAACGGTGATAAATTAACAATAATATTTATACTCAACCTCAAACTCATCTTCATAATCAGTCTTCTTCCTGACGTATTCCAAAAGGTCAGATATTTGAATCCGGCTTCGAACCAAACTTGCTGTATTGTAATACAAATCAGCACTCGGTGGATTTACTTCTGTAATTTAAAAGGCTTTGTTGTCAAAATACCCCTTAGTCATATAAATTGACGTAAAACAGAAATTCCACACACTATATTATATAGAATAGTAAGAAACTTTCTAAAATATTTATCCCTGTTCATATCTTTGCAGTATTTATCTGATACAATTAATATTTCTAACACTAAAGTGAAGAAAATTACAGACATACAATCCATATTATGTAAACTAAGGCATCATGACCGTATACGGTTATTCAATGAAAACAAACCTATTTTGATAAGTTTAGAATTTCCTTCATCTAATTCCTCTAACTCTATTTCATCAACATCCGTTTCTTCTTCAGTTTTGCTTTCAGAATCTCTATCAATGGTGATAGTCGCATACGCATCATTTGAGATAATTGTTTTATCATCCAAGTCTATGGCAAAATTATCATTCATTGCGGTTGGTTTGCTTATTTCCCTCGTACTAGGTTTCTTGAGCTTGTGTGTTTTGTAAGGTTGTGCATATATGTAATCCTGACTTTCTTCAACTGCTGCCGGTTTTTTCGTTGGTTTTGCGTACACATCTTAAATCATTTTAGAAATGAAGATATGTAACAGTTTTACATAAGTTAAAGAAAGATAATAATTTCGATTTTTCAGCATAATAGATAATGTGATGTAACGGTTTATAATTATGAAAAAACAAACATTTGAATTATATGGCACACTGTTACTTTATTATTTTCACTTTAACGACTTACAGTGATATTATACTGTTAACATATGTATTTTGAATGCGTAAGTTATGTCAATATCTATGGATAATTAAATTTAGATCTTAAAACGTCATACATACTTTGATCTTCTGCAACAACTGCCTCATGTTGACCGGATTCTTCCCTTGGCGATTTTTTTCTGTCAAATGAATGCAAATCTTTAACATAGGAACAAACATTATAAAACAAACAAAAAAAGATTCATATCACATTTGTAAAACTAAAAAATAAAAACGGAATACTCGAAAAGTAATGAACACACGCAGCTCTCTCTTGTTAAAATCTTAAAATTTAATTATGCGTCTTCAATGATAGATGCTTTTCTAAATATTGTTTTTGTTGTTTTCTTTCTTTTATTTGAAAACTTACTTCATCTTACAGATATCAATTAATACAAAAATGATTTCAAAGTTCTTAAGAGACCTTACGCGTAATTGTACTATACCTTCGTTTTAGCAAACAAACTCCCACTATGATCAGTATCAATATAAGAACGCCTCCTCCTGCTGATGAACCTATGATAAGTTCGTTGCTTTCTTTCTTGCCTTGCAATTCCGCCTGTGTACCCTCATTTAAAATTTGTTTAGGACTTGTTTGAATAGTTGTTACCTCTGTTGTTACCTCTGTTTAAAAAGAAATTGTTTTACTTATATTTTGAAGTAATCTTTTTATGGTCTTTGTTAGACTGTCTATTTTATGGGGCTTTGTCTATGAGCTGTGCTTTCGTTTGATTTTTGTTTAATATCTTTTTTTTTAATAAATATCAATTGCATATTTTAACTGTTTTATTTACAATGTACGCATAATTTAGTATTACGTGTGCACATGTTTGCTATTCTATCTAACAGGAGTAAACACATGCGCAAATATTCACTACTTTGTAAATAGTTAACAATGTGCCACTTAATGTGTGCACATGACAAATAAACATCTTCAATATCTCTTTATCTCTTTTATTACTTGAATGACATTATATTATGTGCGCTTGTGTGTGTTTCTATAAACTACTACGTATACACGTTATTGTTTCCTCTGGTAATGCAAAAACGTGTAAACTATATAAATAAAGTATTTCGGATATCCTTTATATGTCACCATAAGAAAAGGTAAATAATTATAAATATTCAATATTTATGGTAAACATGAATTAAAAAGTAGATTTAATCCAAATGAGTAACGTATAATTTGTTGTTGTTGTTGTTAAAATGGATTCGTTACATTAATTGTTTACCGATTGTGATAGTTTGAGTGCATTCATCTCCTGTCTGTCCATCCTTACATCAATCTGTACATTTACCGTTGTTTCTATCACATTTCATATCTTTACATCCACCAGGACAAGGCTTATCACAGGTATCGCCCCAAAATGTTTGGTTACATCCGTTTAAACAATGTCCGCTTGTATGATCACACGTTTGAGTACCACTTTTTATAATGCATGCCGGGTTGCAGGCTAAACTGCAATCGGTTGAGTAGAAATTACCTTTGCACAGTAGACAGCTTTTTCTGTTATCTTTTGAGCATTTTGAGCATTTGCTGTCACAGTTTTCGGAACATTTTTCGCCACTCCAGCCATTATAACACTCCCCGATACATACTCCAGCGCTATCACAAGAGTTAGAACATTGCTTTGAACATGGGATTGTGTTGCTTTCACACGTTTTACCATTGAATAGCTGTCCCTCTAGACAATCTGCGCAAACCAATGAATTATTGCGTATTTGACACTGTTTGCATCCCTGAATGACACAATAGTCCGAGCATGGCGATTCTTGTAGACATGACACACAGTGAACATTATTATTAGGTTTAAAGAGGTGAAAACCGCCATTGCATATATAACATGTATTTCCATCCGTACAATGTTTACAATTTGACGGACAGACTTGACATATTGTTTCAAAACTTGTTTTAAACTCATAATATCCGGCTCTACAACCACTCGAGCAGGTACGTAAATCACAACGTTCTTCTTCACAAACACTACAGTTGTGCTGACATTGAAATCCATAGAAACCAGGCTTACATTGTATACAATATCCTGTATCATCTTGACATTCACTGTTTAGACAACTACCATCACAGGGGAAAGAGCATCTTGTTCCAAACATGTTTGGCTTACATGAAGTACAGTCATCGTAGCTGTTACAACTTTCACAATTTTTGGGGCATGGTGAACAGTTGTCATTTAATAAAAAGTAAGATGAATCACAACTTGTGCAATTTGAACCGGAACATAATTTGCAGCCCACAGGACATTCTGTAAATATTTTTAATCCTATTAAAAAATTTAAAATTCGTATAACTAAATTATGCTCAGTCAGATTTTATATATACGTATATTTAAAAAAAACATGTTAACGTGACCACAAAAAATGATTAAATAAAGTTTAAAACAAGAGCACCGCATAGCGTGGCAAACACGCCCAAATGCAAATTTGTTACAAGTAAATAAAATTTAAAGTTATCAAAAATAATGTTTAAACGGAGAGGATACCCATTTATAACAGTTGTCCAAAATATTTACGTTTTATTACAATTACCAATATAAAGATCTATGTTGATACATGCCAAAGAGCTATGCTCTTATCACATGAATACTTAGTGACAATTATATATGCCACAGCTTTCTACTGTGTACAGACAACAGTCATGTCACCCTCCATGTCTTTAAAAACTCATTTTGATGCACAGCGTGGTGATAAATTATCTCGATGCAATTGTCACGTGCACTTATTGAAAACAGCAATAAAGTTAGTTTGTAAATGATAAAAAATCAAAAAAACATATAACTAATATTATACCAGAAATTCAAAAGCACAAAATATTATGCCTTTATAATAAATCGATATGCTATGTTTACAAATAATTTTCTTCTTTTTTATTACATGTCTTTACATTTATAACATCAATACTCACACAAACATCCATCAAAAAACTGATATTTCTACTTTTAAAAAGTAATGATACATGCTTAATATCTATGCTCTGCATGTTGTATGTTGGAGGAATAGACTTTTAAAACATGTAAAATATATAAATCTGTGTACATGTAAACTATGCCAGACCTACTCATACCCAAACCAACTTGTCACACCATTTTTAATATCAGTGAAATGATTTTTTGACCAATAACAGGGTTCTTTTATGAAATAATACATGCCAAATAACTGGGATTAGTAACTTTTCATAAGGATTTATATATTGAAATAAGTTTTTCTGTCTATGTGACGCATCGGGCAGGACCAATATTGACCCAAAGAGCATGCTTTATATAAATTTGTAGATGTCAACAAGAGATGCTTCATGCATTATATCTAAGCTTAACATAAATATAACATTTTGGCATATGAAAATGCGTTCTGTGATTTAAAACTTTTAAAATTCAGCAATTCAAAATGCAGTGGGCTTAACTTATTTTAATGGAATTTCTTCCTATATCAATCTTTCAATTAGAGAGAGACTGCCCACAATAAAGCAAAACAGTATTCATGTCCAAAGTTTTGATAATTACCTTTAAAATGACATTCTATATGCCTCATTTACAACTTATTGTTATTTAGTGAATTTACATATCTCAAGTAACAACAGTTTCAATTAATACGATTGTATCATTTCAAAATAATTTAATTATATAAACCAATAAAAGAACCTCAATTATAAAGTAATAGTTTCTGGAAAATAAAGGAAGATTAATACATATATATATGATTGGAGAAAACATATTAATAAATTCAAACATTGTAATCTCCCTTAGTAATATATAGACCCTTTCATTTAAGCGATTACAGTCAGAGAAGAGTTACTTCCATTACCGGATGTGACGTAAATGGGGGATAAAACTATGCAGGCCGCATAGAATGTTAGCTTATTGAAAAGTTAAATGCGTAAATACTGTTCGTTCAAGTATGATTATAACATGTAAAAATTTACGCATGCATACATAATTTCAATAACCAGACAATAGAAAAAAATACAAAAACAAAGATTGAGATTAATTCTCGCTACGGAGTTGAACAGCGAAATTCCAAAGTGAATACATTTATAAGATCTAGATTTTCTATAATGCCAGGATAAAAAGCTAGTAACTAAATCAAATTTTGATATTTTATCATACACACTGAAATTGCCTATTACAAGTTAAAATGGTCATTTTCTAGTCTTCTGTGTTATTTTCTGTCATTTAGAAAATTCCGGCGTATTTGTGACAAACATGAACATAATTAAGATTGTTAATGTCTTTTAATGATTATTTTTCAAGCTTTTATAGAACAATGCATTTTGTCAATACTTACTGAATCTTTTTCATTATGCCGTATAAAAATTATTTCAAAGAACCCGTGAAGGATATAATTCTAAAAATATTCCGGATAGAACGAAAACCATGTGGCATTGACTTTTATAATTTTAGATTCGCAACGGACGATAATAAGAGAATTTAGATATTAAAATCTATTCTTATGGTTATAAAAATAAAGACCTTTTCCCAGTAACTTATTTCATAGATAAATAGATATGTATAACCGCCACGTACTGGGCCGTAACATATTAATTAACAGGGTGCATAATTATGTTGTATATACAAGCGGCACTTGGCTGTGATATCATACATCACCAGGGTGCATTTTTTAGAGTTATAACATTACATCAGATTACGTCACTTTTGTTAGTTGTCAAAATATTTATGGTCGGAACTTTGTTATGTATCATCCTAGGGACTTTATTGGTCATGCCTTACTGATTTGATACTCGATTAAGAGTCCTACCAACTGGCACAGTCAAAAATACGTAAAATTATAATTCAGTTAATAACACATTTCTGTGAACGTGTTACACAACTTGTTTTTGTTGGGATTTTTTGTGATTTTTTTAAATATTTGATAAGCAGAGAATGAATTAAAAAGTATGAAGTTGAAAATATTACTTTACCAGCCCAAATATATTGGTGTGATGTACGAATTTTTTGAGAGTGCATATTTTGCCGACACAAATAGAATACAGTCATGTACATTCAAAAGAATTTTTACTTTTTTGCCTTTACATTTTTTTTTATTACATAGATTTATACTGTTGTTTTTCTTTGTCTTAGTAATGCTTAAATCAAAATGCTTTTTAATAAACCAGTATCTTACAATTAATTATTACGCAGCCGTTTTTCGAAACTACAGAATCCTTACATTTTTGAAACTCAAAATGTCTTTTAGGTATTGTATATTAGCAGAGACATAGATACATTATATATATCTCTGGTATTAGCAAGTTAGTACGATTTAACTGCCTGGTAAAATTTTCATTTTTAAGAATCTAACGAAAATGGTAATCATGATAAGCTACCAAGCAATATGGTCTACTATTAAACAAATCGTAAACCTTATTATATAATAGTAAACATTTTTATTCATTTCACCATCCTTTTTATGTAATATCTTATTCAAGTACACAAAATTTTGGCAATTTCAATCTGCCAATCTTACAAGAGAAAGGATTAAGATCTTTATATCCCTCTTTCATTGTACTTAATCGTATCGGCATTGTCCACCGTATCTCCCAATGACGTCATCCAAGGGCGACAACTTGATAACTGTCTTAAACGAACGGGTCTATACACTTTATAAGGATTTTGAAAGAGTCAGTGTGACCCTGAACTTGACCTGAGGTGAACCATAACTGCGCTCTGCACATCATCTCAGTAATATAAATATTTCTGCCGAATAGATTTTATTTCATACTATCGGTTTAAAAGAAACAAAACGAACACAAAAATTTTGAAATTGATTCAAAATGACTACGTGTGACTATGACCTGAGGAAGGTCAAACTTTCACTCTGTACCTCGTCTCATTATGATTGAAATTTCTGTTAAGTAGATTGAATTTCCTTCAATCATTTCAAAAGATACAGACCTCACACGAAAAGTCCTATATAAGTCTATAAAATCAATTTTACCTGTAGAAAGTCCAAACTTGTGTTCTACACACCGTATCAATATAAGTAATATTTCTGCCAAAAAGTTTTAATTTCTTTCAGTCGGTTCAAACAATACAGAGCGGACAAAACGTTTGATATTGAAACAAAATGACTAAGTGTGACCTGACCTTGACCTGAGAAAGGTGTAACCTGCGCTCTGCACATCGTCTCATTATGTTAAACATTTGCCAAGTAGTTGAATTTCCTTCCACCTGTTTAAACAATACAGACCGGACAAGAAAACCTGCTTACGGACGGACAGAAGGACGGACAATCAGGTGCATAACAATATACACCGAAATTCTTTCGGGCGTATAAAAAGATAAAATATAATATCAACATTTTTAGAAGCTTTTAGGAAATATAAAAACATTATATATTTCACACATTAGTATTCTTTAAGTACAAATTATCATGAAATAAAAAATACTTACGAGGAAATACCATATCAACAAGCAATATAAGTAAGAATGCTGATATTTCCTGAGACAACATTATTCCGTATTCATATATGAAAATCAATCTGTAAATGAAAATAATACATATATGTCGATAATTACGTGATCAACGTAAAGGCATTTTGTCCAAACATTATTATTATGTATTAAGCATGACTAAACGATGCTAGTTTTATAAACCTTCATTTCCGTGGTTAAACGTATCTTCAAGCTCAAAAATAGTACTAATAGTATGTCTCATATATTAGAAGTTTAATATGCATTACAGTAGAATATTTGAAACATTCCGAATGCATTATGCAATTAAGTTAAACTGTAATCAGGTACAATGAAGCTTAAAAAACAGTTTCGAGACTTGCATAATTATACTGAAAGAATTATCACACTACTGTTATCTGTAATTCCTTTTTCAAGACTGTTATTTGTTATTCCTTTTTCAAGAAGCGAAAGAAAATTATAAGATATCTCTAAGCGTTCCTAAAATGAACAAACTATATGAAATATAAATACCTGATTAATCACTACCAAATAAACCGGTTCAAAACTTCCTCTTTATATGTGGGATTTGAAAAGATACGATATGCATCAGTGACTCCATTTTAAGCGAGTCTAATGGTTATTTTTAGATGCACAGCTATTCAGATAACAAGGTTAAAAAGAACAAAAACGTTTTATTTTTTGCAATTATGAGAAAATACTTAAATTACACCTATGAAAGTAAATAATAATTTACTTTAGGAAGATTTTAAATGTATTCAAATATTAAACTTATAGTTAAAGTACATACATGTATAACATACTTACAAAAGCCCGATGGTGACATTAGAACTT